GGAGTTTTTGAGTTATGGTCTGATTTGCCAAAGGGAGGGCGAGGGAGGGCTTGTATGCGTTTCTTTTTGTTTTTGTTATTAAAGTTTGTATTTATTTTTTAATTTTTACACAAACAAACGAACAAATAAAAAGTAGGAGTGGCATGACCCTTCCAAATTCTAAGAATTACTTTAGCTGCTGTAGCGATACCAACAGTGATCAGTGCAAATTCCTCATTTGTTACATTAGGTGTTCTATCGCCCAAGAGAAATATTGTCGGTGAAACTGGAATTGTTAACTGCAACAATTCCTCCAGATATTTCAAAACATCCTTCCAGAAAGGTACCCCAATTACACCCCCCTTTGCGTGTAAAAACCCCAGTGTTTTTTTGGGCTTTTCCAACACAGAAAATTGTTGGTCAGCCAATTTGAGCCAACTTAATACCCAAATTACTTGTATTAAAAAAAAAAAATGATATAAATATATAAAATTTGGGTATTACAGTCTTGTCCCACGCGCAACTCCGTAGGGACGGGGAGAGGAAAAGGTCGGGCAAGGTCCTCCAAAACGCCCTTGCCAAGCCGCACTCTTTTGAACATTTTCCCTTTTAACCCGGAACCGCCCCCAAGTGTCGGAAAAAGGAAAACCCCCGACAAACTGCAACCAGTCAGGGATGCGGCCCCCCGCCACAGAGCGCAGAAGGGGGCATCCCGGCCCCCCTACCCCTAAAAACCAGAGCTGGAATTTGTGTGTTGGGTTCCTGGGGGGGGGTGGGGGGGATCAAACCCGGGTCTGTATGACCCTAAAAGTCTGCAAAGCATTCCTTAGACCGCTGTGCCATCGAAGGCCAAAAACCCAAAAAATTTCATCCCAGGGGAAACCCATTTGAAATTAAATGGGTAACGGTTCCGAGTAACATAGGGCATAATTTGGCATTGTTTTCCGACATATTTCAATTAATTTTGAGCCTGACATACAAAATTGTTCATCAAGTAAGTCTGGTGATCAGACTGAACAGGATCAGGACCAGCTGTAGAATATAATCGGGCAACAAAGCGCTTGTGTTCTTTTCCCCCTCCATGTAAAACCCTTTTAATTTCTTTGTTTTTTTCATTGTTGTAAGAGCCTCTCCTAAAAAAAAGGACGGGAGAGCGAGCAAAAATGCCTTGTGCCTCTGAAAAACAAAAAAAGGAGACTAATTTCCCTTCGTAAATATGTTTTTTTAAGTTTGGGAAAAGAGGCCCCTATCCATTTACAAAATCGGTCCAAAACAAAAATTTTTTAGGGTCCTTTTAAAAGGGAAAAGCCCCCCTCTACCCTATCAAAAGCCCTTTTCAGCATCAAGGAGACAGCAGCGGTCACTATGTAGATGTTAGGGAGTGCCCCTTTCTAAGAGTTCCAAATCTTGTAAAGTCTTACAATTTACTTAGGAGGCTATACTCTAAAATTCCCCTTTTTGTGTATCTCTCCTGGTAAACCACTGTCAATACAGGTACAAAATGTCAATAACTTTTTAAATTTCACAGAAAGGCCATCCAACCGGTGATTTCCCTTTTTATAGATAAAAGGCAGCTCAACCTCCTTTCTGTTATAGTACCTCCAGGTCCTCTACATGGGTATTGATAAACTAGGTATTCTTGCCAAAAAAAAGTATCCCTATCATGGGGCTCTCGAAAAGGAGGGTGTATTTAAATCTTTATAAAAAAAATTTTAAACACAAATGTTTTTTCTTTTTGGGGTGGGTCACCCTTTAATTGCCCTTCTTTAAATTTTGGGTTCATTAGAATGTTTTTCATTTTTAGTTGTCTTTCTAAGCCTGCCCGTTTCTCACCACCCATAAAAAAATGGTTTTATGTCTAAACATGCTTTTCGCCTTTTTTTACATTTCGTGCAAAAGAAATTTTTTTTTGCAGGCAGTTTGAAATGTGCTATCTGTGAAATGTCTTGCCAAATCCCTTCCAAACACATATCTCTGTTTTTAATCTTTTTCTGCTTCGCCCCTTTTCTTTTTTTTGGATGCTGTGTTTTTATTTTCCCTCTAATATATGCTTTTAAAGGTTACCCATCTGTGGGAAAAATTTTCAGTTGGCCTATTTGATCTCAAAAAAGGGTCTAAGACATTGCTAGGGGTTGGCTAAAAAATTTTCATCATGTAAAAAAGTTTTTTTTCTAAATCTACCCCCTTTCCCACATTTTCGGGGTTTTTCTTACATGAACTGCAGATCTTGAGGGCAATGGCCCCAAATTTTTCGTTTTTCACTTATTTAACCCCAAAATTTGAATTTGAAGAAATCTTTTTTGGAGTGGTCTTATGAATGGGGAAAAAAGTTATTCTCTTCATTAGGATGGACTAATCTGCTCGTCTGTAGGCCCCTTCTTCTGTAGATATTTATTCAAGCATCCTTTGGCATGGAGCTAACTGTAAATGTTCCCTTCTATCAATCATATTGTCCATCATTTGGGTTAAAGCTCCACAAGGACATCTGCCCTGCCATTTTTCCCAGTATAACTTGACCTAGAAAAAATCAGGTCCCCCTTGTTGGGTCTATACGGGGGGGGAAAAAAAATTTAGTCGCCCCTTTGTGCAAGTTCCCCCACTTAAAAAGTGAAGAGGCCTGTAATTTTCATCATAGGTAACTAAACTATTACAGACAAAATGAAAAAAAATCCAGAAAATCACATTGTGGGGATTTTTTATGAATTTATTGAAAATTTCGGTGGAAATAGTATTTGGTCAAAAACAAAAGTTTCTCATACTTTGTTATTCCCCTTTTTTTGGCAATGACAAGGTCAAAAACTTTTTCTGTAGTCTTCAAAAGGGTTTTTTCACCCCTTTTTGCTGGTATTTTGGCCCCCTTCCTCCATCGATCCCTCTGAGCAGTGATGTTTTGGGCTGTCGCTGGGGCAAACGGACTTTCAATCCCCAAAATTTTTTTGGGTTGAGATCGGAGACTGGCTGGGCCACCCCCGGATTGAAATGCTTCTTACAACCCCTCCTTCGTTTGCCCGGGGGCGTGTTTTGGGGGACATTGTCTGTGAAAGCCCACGTTTCATTTTAAATGCCCTTGCTGATGGAAGGGGGTTTTCACTCAAAATCTCAGATACAGGGCCCCATTCATTCTTTCCTTTCACGGATCGTCGTCCTGGTCCCTTTGCGAAAAAAACCCCAAGCAGATTTTTCCCCCCCATTTTTCACAGAGGTAGGTGTTCTTTGGGTGCAACTCACATTCTTTGCCCTCCAAACACGACGATTTATTTTAAACCAAAAGTTTATTTTGGTTTCATCTGACCATATGAACATTCTCCCAACCCTCTTCGGGATCACCCAAATCATCTAGAAAATTTTAAAGGGGCCCTGACAGTACGGGCAAAGCGGGGGGACCGCTGGCACTGCAGGATTTGAGCCCCCCCTGGGGGGTAGTGGTTACTGAGGTAGGCTTTGTTACTTTTGGTCCAGCTTCTGCGGTCTTTCATAGGCCCCCCCGTGTGGTTCGGGATTTTTCCCAAACCGTTCTTTGACATTTTTTACCCCAGGGGTTTGGGGAATCTTGCGTGGAGCCCAGATGAGGGGGAAAATCAGTGGTCTTTTATTCTTTCCCTTTCCAATAATTGCTCCCCCATTGATTTCTTTTTAAACCAAGCTGTTCCTATTTTCAGATTCATTTCCCAGCCGGGGCAGGTCTAACAATTTTGTTTCTGGTGTCCTTTTACAGCTCTTTGGGCTTGGCCCTATATTTGGAGTGTGACTGTTTTTAGGTTTTGGGGAAAGGGGTTTTTATATGATAAAAAGTTCAAACGGTGCCATTAAAGGGGCGTCGTCCCCCCCTCATAAATGGGAAAAATTGAAGCTCCGCTGCTCCACTCAGCTTTATTGATGTGGATGGGGGCGTGCTCGCCCCCCCCGTTTCCGTAGCCCCAAACAAAGGCATTTTGGGATAGAAGGCATTTAGCTTGTCTGGTAGCTCCTTGGCCATAGTGGAGTTTTGGGGTTGACTGTTTAGGTTTGGACAGGGGTTTTTTTATAGATAACAAATTCATACAGGTGCCCTTAAAACAGGTAACGAGTGGGGGAAGAGGAGCCTTTAAAGAAAAAGTTAAGGTCTGTGAGACCAAAATCTTGCTTGTTTTTAGGTGCCAAAAACTTATTTTTCCACCCTAAATTTGCAAAAAATTCATTAAAAAACCCACAAAGTGATTTTTTTTTGATTTTTTTCTCAAATTTTTCGTCAAATTGACGTGTACCTTTATGAAAATTACAGGCCTTCTCATCTTTTTAAGGGGAGAACTTGCACATTGGTGCTGACTAAAAAACTTTTTTTTCCCCCCCTGTATATTGCAACACTACCTTAATCCCCCTTTTTAAGAGCCTCAATGCAAATATAGAAAACTCCGGGTTGCTTCAAATTACAAAATTAAATATTTTGCTTATCGAAAATCACCCCCTTTTGTTTTGGATTAAAAGAGCATGAACCTTCTGAAAAACCCCCCTCCTTAAAAATTTTAGGGGCCCCTGTATCGTTTAAGGGGATTCCTGTATGAACACAATATCCGCCTGTTTTGATTTTAAACATGTCAATATCTTTTTCCTCTTCAACTTGGTTACCACAACACTTTAGTTCCAAGAGATTATGTTTACATAACGACTAGCCATATTTGCGCTGAGTAGTTACAGCCTGTGAGCGTGAGTGTCCCATTTAACACACGTGACAACTATAATGAAATTATTATATAACATTTCACAATATATGCTCCAGCTGTACAATAAAACTGTGTAAATAAACGTAGAAAACCCAATCCCAAAATAAAACTAGGAACGTAAACGTTGCCTTCTCGATGAGTCAATCATCACAGGACTGTCTTTGATGCTGCAAAAATTCCTTATGGTCCGTGAGGCGCTTGAAAGGCTAAATTAGCAACACTCCGCAGAGTCCCGCAAAACATATAGGTTACCTTCATTTGTATAGTAAACGGCATACAATTCAACTTGTCTTTACCTTGTCTTTGTCTTCTTTATCTAGGCTAAACATCTTGCTCTAGCAAGAATCTCTCTGCCTCCATGTTGTCCTTGAAAATCTTTTTCTTTCCCTTCCAAGTAAAGAGCAGGTCGCTGGGAATGCCAGTGTGTGCCTGAACGTTCTTCTTGTGTAGTTGTTTCTCTTCTCGCCGTTGCAAAACTTCTTCCCTCTTCATTGCCAGTTCCTTGGGACAGGTCCAGGAAAAAAGACAACCAACGGTCTTCCCACTGAACGTCACCCTTTTCTTTTGCCGCTTGAAGTACCTTGTCCCCGGGCTGTAGATCTTAGGAAGCGGATGAGAACAGTTCTCGGGGGGCCCATTCTCGTCCGGCATGGTTAAAACTGCGATGGGTTCGTTCAATTTCGAATTCGTGCCTGTCGTCAAATCCAAATCCTTCTGCGATGATTTTCTGCCACACACGAGATTAGTCCAACCGCCCAGCCTCACTGCCCTCTTTCAGATGAACCAGTCCTCACACCGTATTTTCTCCTACTCCTGTTCTCAAGTTCTTCGACACGATTCCACAATATGTCCAGCTTTTTTTCGTGATTCTCATTACCCTTCTCCAGACGGGAGATGGCATCCTTCACTGTCGAAATCCATCCCTCTGCCCCATCCATCCTCTCTTGTATCGTATCAAACTTTTTCCTTTAGCTCGGTAGTTGTTGTTTATATCGTGGAGACATTGGATGCAATATCCAACAAAATCGTGTTCATCTTTCCCATTTGCTCAAATAGATCCTTTAGATTTACTGATTTCTCTGGGTTTACGTGTTTATCCATGTCTAGGTGAGGGGATTCGGGGAGGACTTGCTGTTTGTTTGCTAGTCGATGTGGACTTCTGTGAATACCGCGTGTTAGGCTTGAACAGGTTTTTTAAGCGTGTGTTGACATTCCAAAAACGCCATTTTAGCGGATGTTTCAAAATGTAAAGGATCTTTATATTAACTGTACTTCAAGTCAATATATTAAGAGAAAAATGAAAGTGTATGCCATTGAATTTCAGTATTTACATGCGGGTATTAGGAGCGCTCTAAGGTGATGCCATCTTTTTCGGCAGTTCCACGTGACTCCTTGTGTGCATTTCTGTGTGTGGAGTAATGGTGATCTAGAGTTTTGCCGCCTCTACTTGCACAGGTGACATGCTGGTAAAAATTAGGTAAAAGGATTTCAGTTTCCCCGCATTAAAAATCACTGACCACAAGAAACGCAGCAACTGAATGTGCATTTTCTTGTTTGCTTATGGCCCCTTTCTGTGTTTGCAAAACATTGCCGCACGAGGGCGATGCGCGCAAGTTGGTGGCAGAACAAGGGGGAGTTCTTACAGAACGCCAGCAAAAAAAGCCAATTTTACATGTTGCTTATGAGTGCATTTCACACTACTTTTGGATGATAATTGCCTTTTAAGGCTCGTATGAATGTCCTGCTTGATATAATGTTTTGTGTCATTATCGCAATCAACTGCATTATAGTTCAAAAAACACTTCAAACTTCAACCAGAAAAATGGCTCTTTGGCTAGCTTTTGCTACAACCTATATCAATGAGCGTTAGCATTCTAGCTAACAACTGCTGCATCCAAATAGTTATTTTGCAAAGATCTCAACCAAATATAATCTTAGCGACTGTTCAAGCAAGAATCAAAACATCATTGTAAGCGTATGAGAACCCCAAAAAAGTAATTTTGTTTAGAAGTAATAAAAATGTAATCTAGGCTATGTTGAATGGGCGCAGATGGCGATGGCTTTCTCACTGCCGCCAAGAGTCGCGCGCATCTGTAGGTGGTGTCAGTGTGTCGTGTACTGGAAAAGGGTTTATTACAGCTCGATGAGTGCGGTCTTAGTGCCAGCATCGGTTTGTGGTGGTAAATAGACAGTTACGAAAAATATACACTGAACTCCAAAAGCATTGGGACAGTGACAAATGTGTTGTTCTTTTCATTCTGTAATGATACAATGACTATGAGGTTAGAGTGCAGACTGTCAGCTTTAATTTGAGGGTATGTTCATCCATATCGGGTGAACAGTTTAATACATAGTCCCGCCATTTTAGGGGACCAAAAGTATTGGGGCAAATTCACTTATATGTGTATAAAATAGTCAAAAGTTTAGTATTTGGTCCAATATTCCTAGCACGCAATGATTACATCAAACTTGTGACTCTACAAACTGTTGGATACATTTACTGTTTGTTTTGGTTTTGTTTCAGATTATTTTGTGCCAAATAAAAATGAATGTATTGTGTCATTTTGGAGTTGCTTTTATTGTAAATAAGAATATAATATGTTTCTAAACACTTCTACATTAATGTGGATGTTACCATAATTACGGATAATCCTGAATGAATCGTGAATAGTGATGAGTGAGAAAGTTACAGTCGCACAAATATCATACCCCCAAGACACGCTAACCTCTCACCATTACAATAACAGGGGAGGTTAGCATCTTTGGGGCGGGGGGGGGTGGGGGGGGTGGGGGGGGGATGATATATATGCCTCTGTAACTTTCTCACTCATTATTATTCACAAACGTTGACTACTTTAATACACATATAAGTTAATTTGTCACCCGATATGTATGAAAATACCCTCAAATTAAAGCTGACAGTCTGCACTTTAACCTCATAGTCATTGTATCATTTGAATTCCAAAGTGCTGGAGTACAGATCCAAAAATGTGTCACTGTCCCAATACTTTTGGAGCTCACTGTAGATGAAAACTTTCTTGGTAAATAGTATGGTCTGCAGCTTATCATGAGGTATTCTAACTAAGGTGAACAAAAACTCAAGACTTCCTTAACATTAGAGATCACACACCAGCTGTTTGTTAACAAAGAGACACACCCCTCCACCCTTCCCCTTACCTGAGTCTGCCGTCCGGTCTTGATGATGCAGAGAAAAACCAGCCAGATGTACTGTACACTGAGTGTTCAAAACGTTAGGAGCACCTGCTCTTTTCATGACATAGACTGACCAGGTGAATCCAGGTGAAAGCTTTGATCCCTTATTGATGTCACTCGTTAAATCCACTTCAATCAGTGTAGATGGAAGGGAGGAGATAGGTTAAAGAATGATTTTTAAGCTTTGAGACAATTGACACATGGAATGTGTATGTGTGCCATTCAGAGGGTGAATGGGCAAGACAAAAATATTTAAGTGTCTTTGAACAGGTTATGGTAGTATGTGCCAGGCACACTGGTTTGAGTGTTTCACGCTCAACAGATTCCCGTGTGCACCGGTTTGAGTGTTTCACGCTCAACAGATTCCTGTGTGCATACATAAGTATTCAGACCCTTTGCTATGAGACTCGAAATTGAGCTCAGATGCATCCTGCTTCCATTGGTCATCCTGTGGTAAATTGAGACACAGATCTGGGGAAGGGTACCAAAACATTTCTGCAGCATTGAAGGCCTCCATAATTCTTAAATGGAAGAAGTTTGGAACCACCAAGACTCTTCCTAGAGCTGGCCTGCCAGGCCAAACTGAGCAATCGGGAGAGAAGGGCCTTGGTAAGGGAGGTGACCAAGAACCCAATGGTCACTCTGATAGAGCTCCAGAGTTCCTCTGTGGTGATGGGAGAACCTTCCAGAAGAACAACCATCTCTGCAGCACTCCACCAATCAGGCCTTATGGTAGAGTGGCCAGACGGAAGCCACTCCTCAGTAAAAGGCATATGACAGCCCACTTGGAGTTTGCCAAAAGGCACCTAAAGGACTCAGACCATGAGAAACAGATTCTCCAGTCTGATGAAACCTTTGGCCTGAATGCCAAGCATCACATCTGGAGGAAACCTGGCACCATCCCTACGGTGAAGCATGGTGGTGGCAGTGTCATGCTGTGGGGATGTTTTTCAGCAGCAGGGACTGGGAGACTAGTCAGGATCGGAGGGAAAGATGAACAGAGCAAAGTACAGAGAGATTGTTGATGAAAACCTACTCCAGAGCACTAAGGACCTCAGACTGGGGCAAAGGTTCACCTTCCAACAGGACAACAACTCTAAGCACACAGTCAAGGCAATGCAGGAGTGGCTTCGCGACAAGTCTCTGAATGTCCTTGAATGGCCCAGCCAGAGCCCGGACTTGAACCCAATCGAACATCTCTGGAGAGACCTGAAAATAGCTGTGCAGCAAGGATCTGCAGAGAAGAATGGGAAAAAACTCCCCAAATACAGGTGTGCCAAGCTCGTAGCGTTATACCCAAGAATGCTCAAGGCTGTAATCGCTGCCAAAGGTTCTTCAACAAAGTACTGAGTAAAGTGTCTGAATACTTATATAAATGTGATATTTCCGTTTTAATTTTTTTCTAAAACCCTGTTTTTGCTCTGTCATTATGGGGTATTGTGTGTAGATTGATGAGGGGAAAAACGATGTAATCAATTTTAGAATAAGTCTGTAACGTAACAAAATGTGGAAAAAGTCAAGGGGTCTGAATACTTTCCGAATGCATTCGCGCTCTCTCTCTCTTTTCCCCCCTCGTAGAGCCGGGTATGTATTGACCATTTATACTGACCACAGTATGTACTGACTACAACCCTCTTTGGGAGATTAAGATGAGCAGTGAAATTCTTTCTCTATGTTGGCCCAGCTGTTGGAAGGAAAACAGCCAATCTACAGATCACGTCTTCAGGTCAACCATCTTTGATTATTTTGATGGGCATAAGTGGCTACATTTGGGAGATATTGGGCTCCCGAGTGGCGCAGCGGTCTAAGGCACTGCATCTCAGTGCTTGAGGCGTCACTACAGACTCCCTGGTTCGATTCCAGGCTGTATCACAACCGGCCGTGATTGAGAGTCCCATAGGGGCGGCGCACAATTGGCCCGGGTTTGGCCGGTGTAGGCCGTCATTGTAAATAAGAACTTGTTCTTAACTGACTTGCCTAGTTAAAAGATCAAATATAAAAAATATTGTGACGATCGAAGTCACTACCAGTAAATTAAATACGAAGGGATCAGCCTATGTGCTGTACTTGTGACAGATTTGTTGGCAGATTCACAGTAATGTGCTTTGCTAGAATTGATAATGGTCTGTGGTTGTGTAGATGCTGTTAATGATAATGCCAATGTGGGTTTTAAACCAGTTTGTTCAGGAAGCAGTCTTACAGAGTGTTCAGAAGCTGGGTGAGAGACAACCACACATGCGAGTAGGACTCATCACCTTCAACAATCAGGTATAATATTTTTTTCCATTAACATAATTTACTATTTCTGCGTGTTGATATCTAATGAAATCGTGTTTTCATGCTCTTTACATAGCGTTTTTTCACAGATTCATTGGCTGTAGGTATTAAATCCGTGTTTTCTGTGTGACATTTCATATGCACCAGAGGAGACTGGTGGG